AATAAAGTCAGATTCATGAAACTTGGCAGTTGTGTGTCCGATTGTAGATCAGATATATGAAGTTTTGATGGAATTGCTTGACAGGTTCAGGTACTTGCCATACAACTCCTAAAGCTAATTTTAAATATTTGGAAAAATTATAAAGTCAGATTCATGAAACTTGGCAGTCAGATGTCCAATTATAGGTCAGACATATCCGTGAAGTTTCTATAGAATGACTTCACGGGTTCGTGTAATTGCTACATAATAACGAAAGGTGCAGGGTATAATTCAATCGGTTTATACCGACTGAAACGTTTTTACTTGTTCTATTTTTTTTTATATACGTGTATACGTCCATATCCTACGTTTTTATACACGTACACCACGGTAATACGAGTAGTAAATATTTCTCAGGTGTTCTGTTTATTTGGTCGTATTTTTTATTTTTATTATATAATTTAATTTTTCCTCGAAATATGATGGCACTGTTAAACAATAATGTATAAAACATACAGTATGATATTGCAGATATTATTGTAGTATTAAAGATAAATAAGATAGAGAGAAGGTTGCTGCTTTCAAATTAATTATTATTCTTATTCACTAGATGAAATAAAGCATACCATGCCAATTGCCATGCCATTGCCATACAATATAATACATATGTACGTACAAGATATAGGATGAGAGTAGGATGAGAGAAAAAAAATCAAAAGAGACAAGAAAGAAATTTTAACCTTCAAATGAAGTTGAATTTGGAGTTTCTCTTTATAAATTTTTGTTTTGTTATCTTTTTTTTTTGTTGGGGTTTCTTCTCGTAATTTTCATAAAAATTTTACTTTATATATTGTATACATGTGTGTGTGCTCGTATAATAAAGAAGATAATCATACATAATATAATATCAAACCATAAAGCAATACAAAGGATTTAAAAAAAAAAAATGTAAAAAAGCGAAAAGTTGTTTTAATGGTAAACTTTTTCAATATTTTCAATTTTAATGTTTTGTATGTTCTTTAGATCTATCTATAATGTAAATACACTTGTGAATTAGTTTCTCTTTAAAAAAAAATTCATATTCACAATTTTATATGTATGTACGAATGGGTACATAAATGTAATGAAAGTTGTAGGAAAATAGTTCAACAGAATATTACAAAAATTGAAACTAGAAATTTCACATTTTACCACAATAAAATTTTTGAAAAATTACTTTAAATTTATTACATTTAGTTTTACGTCGGCAATAACAACTGCTATGCGTATTCAACTTAAAGTATTTGAATAATATTACCAAAATAAAAGATAATTTTGTCATGGCAGAACTGAGTAGGTGAAATGAACCTATTTGCACTCATATTACTAAGAAAAATGAGAGACCATCTTTTTACTTAGAAAACTACATCATACGAGTATACATTATACATTAAAAATTAAAAAGTTATGAATGAATGATAAAGTAACTAATATTACTGTCATATGCCTGGAGAACACGAAATACGCAAATATCCTTTAAGTTCTTATATCAAATCCACTTGGAACAAAACAAAAATTAAAGTGAATATTTATTCAAAATTACATTCTAGGAAAAATGTTTTAGTTTTAGTAATAAAATTCTAAAAATAAAAAATATTTCTCAGTGAATTTTTAAGCCATATTAAAATTAATAAAATTAAAATTGAAAATGTTGAAGTTATAAAATCCTTATATCTTATTAAATTATTTAATATTATTGTCGCTAATAAATAACAATTTTTCATTCCTACACCCACATCTTATTAACTATGAAATCTAGCTTGTAATAAAGTAAAATTTAATATTCCACAATTTATTTGTCATAATTATTTTATTCGAACTTATTAAGACAATAAAAAAGCATTCAATACATTTTATATTGGTACTTAATTCATATGGATTTACTTCATTTTACATCCTCATCGTTTTAGATAATATTCAAAGTTGGAGGGAAAACTATAGTTATTGTTAAAGAAAAGTTTCCATTTTATATTCTTGTTTTACAATTTCATTGTTATATGATTTTCTTTTTTTGTTTTATTATTATATTTTTAGCTGTAAGGATAAAATAATCTAGTAATAAGATTATTAAGATATTTTTTACTGTACGGATTATATTAAAGTTTAAAATTCACGTATAAATAAATTTTAACTTTAAATTAAAGTTTTTAAGAGGAACTTTATTTTTTTGTTTTTACTAATGGGGTGTAATAGATATCCTGTTTTGTTACTAAGAGTTTTTTTCAGCTTGATTTTCCTATTCTTTATTCAGAATATTGTATTTGAATTTTAAAAAAAAAAATAAATTTTACAACTTTGCAGGGATTAGGGAGAATTGAGAAAAGGAAATGGAAATTTAGATTTCACTTTTATGAATTAGAGTGAATATATGCTTATGTATTATATGTATGTTCATATTAATGTTGTGTGTTTCTGCATAATAGAAAAGCGTGCATGTAATTTCTTTTAATTATAATTTATAATAGAAAAAGATTTATGTATTAAGAAATTTTTGGATTTTATTTTTACCTAAAGCCATTTTTATTTTATGATATTTTTTTGCCTTCATATGTTTTTGAAGAAAATGTGGTTTTAAGTTTAAGATTATTCTTTGTTTAAATATTGTTATAAAAATTTTAAATATTAAAAAACTATTTTAAATTACAAAATCTGTCTAATTCAGTTTTTGAAGTTATGCAAAATTGAAAACTTTATTCATCGTTTATAAATAAAACAGTACCTTTGTATGGTGATGTGGAAATAATAGGAAACAATATGCACAATAAGGTTGCATTCGGTTTTGATATATGATCTCTTCATTTAAGAAAAAGTTTTCATTTACTTCAAGCAATGAAGTTTGCAAAAATCTGTCAATACCGTTCTACAAATTTCTAATAAAATTCTATGAATTTTGTGTTTTGAATAACGTGTAATTTAATAAATACTTTTTTTAATGTATTTATTTTTTAATAAATGTTTAAACCTTGTTTAAATAGGTTTGTGCCAGTCAAATATCCCTGGCAAAAATAAATTAAAAAAATGTTTTGACAGACACTTCGACTTGACAAAGAGCTATTCAAAGATTGCCTCGTCAGTCGCTCTACAAATATGCTTTTATTATATTGAAAGATTTACGGTCGTTATTGTTGAATCAAGAAATATTTTGCTGCTGGAATGGGATTTTTCTGATTTTTAGAAACCTATTAATTACCTTTTAGTACTTATAAATTATTTGTTCTGTATTCTAAAAATCGTGACGGTGGCGTGAACCGTTTTGAAGTTGTTGAAGGTAACATGTCAGGCCTTTTTAACTGGTGTGGCAGTTAAAGCGTTAAACTCGAAAAATGATTATAAGAAAAACCATAAAATGGTCCGTTTCGCCCATTTCTGAAAATTCTAATTTGTAAACGTGTATAAAGAAAGAGGTGGTCATAAATAAATTACTAAATAACATTTTCATGTGAAAACACTGACAATAACTGTTTGTCGAGAAAAGTCGAGAAATTCATCAAACGTCATAACTCATATTATGTAACTTCAAACAAGCTTAAGATTTTACAAATATTTCCAATCAATAACTCATAAAACACCGACATAGAACTAGGCGATTTTTTTTGTAAAACCAATGGTTGCAATTTTTTCCGAGGCCCTTAAAGCTTCCAGTTTCCACCGAATATTTAAATTACCGAAATCTTTCCTCTAATTTCAAAAAAATTTAAAGTGTTATATTATCCTACCTTTCTATAAATTCTTCAACATTTATTAACAATAGTTATGCTTACCATTTAGGTGAAAACACGCAAGCGCCTTTATCTAAAGTTCCCCTTGTCCAATTCTCGTTCTATACTAGTATATATTTTTATTAATCCGCACTTATCTTTACAAAGCCGACATTCTTGCGAGGCCAACTCAATTCGTCATTGTTTTAAAGTAATAAAACATTTAAAATGAATACTTTTTAAAAAGTAACCCGCACATAGTGTAGAAATTATTTAATAAGATATTCGTTAATTTTGAGTGTCAATTCTATAAACTGTGTCAAGTTGGTACTCCCTAGCATTTAGAATTATTGACATGATGACTTAATTTCTTTGTATTTATTGAAATAGCTGCATAATATATTAAATTGAAAAAACAAACATAATTTTATCGGTAAGGATTATGATATTTTTATGGTGAGAAATATTTGCGGGGTATTAATAGGACTATGGCACAGGATGAACTAAAGTTTCTATAGCTATACGGAAAAAATAATCATATTCTTTTTTTTAATATTCTTAATTCAACTTAATTTATTCAACAACCGATACCTTACTAAAATTACTAAAATTTTATTAATCTAATGAAAATAAAAATTATTTTAAGGATAAAAAATGAATAAATCGCCTGCAACATTAACCTGTTTTGCTATCATATAACAATTCTATATTATAATTATAAAAAAACAAAACATTAAGTTAATGGACTTAATAAAAGATTTTCAATTACTCGTTCGCAATTCTTATAATTTCCATACACGTTTTTGACCTCACGTACCCCCTTTGTTTAACTCGTATAATATTTTTTATTGTTTTTTATATATTTATAATAAAAACAATAAATATGAAAACTTAACAAAAACCACTTAAAAATAACTTATAGCAATAAATTTTAATTCATTGCGAATGAATGATGGACATTTTCCAGACGCTATGTCCTTAAAAAGGACTTAAAGTAAACAAAAAAGCAATTATATAAAATATTTATACAACCGTGTATACACAAAAATAGAAAATTATCATAACCATCATCATCGTCATCATCGTTATTATATTCGTGTAAATAATAATATATTTTATATACATGTACATAATAATATACATAAGGATATACATACATAATGTAAAATGTAAAAATGCTGTTATATCTTGATAGCGTAATAAAAAATATTTTATTCTGTTTGTTTTTATTTTTTTCCTTTAAATTAAGACATTCATACTTATAATTTTCGTATCTATTTTCAGAGGATTGTACAACAGACAAATGCGTAAAATATCCCTGTCAACATGGTGGTGAATGTTTACCTACCGATGATGGTGCTGTCTGTCTATGTCCAATTGGTTTTAGTGGTGATCTATGTGAAATGCGACTAGACTTGCAGGTAAAAAATAAGGTTCCACTTTTAAAATTTTTTTTTTCCTTTTTTTTTCATTTTTACTTTTGTTTCGGTGCCAGGCTCTATCTTTGAGTTATGTATACCCTTCTTGGATTATTTTTTTTTCATTTATATTGCTTTGAAGAGGTTCTTTCATTGCTTGTTTTAGGTTTATTTTGAAGGAAATTTATTTGTTTTATTTTTTTGAACGGAATCACAATTGAAAAGAAAAATGAAGCAAATTAATTATGAAAAACAAAATGTATTATAAATTTTAATATTAAGTTCCTACAGAAGTATGAAAATCGCAGTGTATTGTGCGAAAATGAAAAGAATAACAAATAATATTGGACCGCATTTGAGATAAATTATTAAAGGCATTTTGTTTCGAAAATTTCGGCCTTAAAAAGTATTTGGCAAATATACTGAAATTTTGCTCTAGATTAAAAGCATAACAGCTTATTATTTACATTTCACGGACATAATTTGCATAACAGCTTATACTTACATTTTATTAGCTTATATTTTTAAAAATTCTGCCAATCAATTCCAAAATGAAGTATACATACAAATATTTTATATTTCTTAATTAAAATTTTAAGTAACAACTACTTGAATTTACCAATTCTAAAAGAAAAAGGAGTAAGCTCGATTACTTCTAATATCAATTATGATTATTAATAAAAATATAAATTATAGAGTGAAAATGAATTTATTTTATAAAAGTTCTTAATACAGAGAGGGGTAGTAAGTTATAAAATATTTTTAGCTTGAACATTATTACTTGAGCATTTCCGATTGAAATAGTTTTTCCAATTTGATTATAGTACATTGCATATTGTTTTTATTTATAAGTGCCTTGAAATTATCTTTTGATAAGCTGGAAACACTATATTTAAGATCAAACAAAACTTCATTTACGGTTTTCCTTCAATATGCTGCTTATAAGGCATTCTGTTTGCTTAAGATTTATACTTACATATTTTCCTCGTTATACTTAAAATATTTGTCTAGTAAGTGTTTTCGTAAATAATGAAAGAACAAAAGAAAAACGAAGAAAAAACGTGAAAGATTATTTTTTTCTTCTCGTTTATTATTTTGTTGCTTTTGTATTTAAAAGAACAATATAACAGAATAAACAATTTGACAAAATGACGTTGACGGCCGTTGGACATTTTTGACATAACACGCATATAGTGATAGCAATAAGTTGAATAAATTACAATATGGCAGAAATAATGAGAGTGTAAAATACTCTTGCAATACTACGTAGATATACTACTGTTACGTCATATTACACGAGTAAGAATAATGTTTTGATGCCACAAATTTCTTGTAAAAAAAATGAGACATTAAAATTTTTAATACTATTGCCTTTCCTTCTCTTTTAAGATGGATGAAGAGATTAATTTGTTTTTCCTATCTGCATTTAACGTATTGCCTTCAAAAGAAAGTGAGTTTATAACGTAATTATATTAAAAGTTGTCGGATAAAAATAGAAAATATAAAATAATGTTATAGTTTATGACTGATGATAACTGAAAGATAAACTATGATTTACACCATTCCACTTAGAAAGAGTTTTAATAACATGTTATTAAGAAAACACTGAAATACAAATGAAAGCTAGTAAAATGAGCTAGAATATTAATAATAATAAAATGAGCAGATACTCGAACTTTCCACTATTAATGAACAGAAACCAACTTATCACTGAAAATTAAAATTATTGTATATAATTTTAAATTTCTACATTTTAAAATTTTAATTTAATGACCAAATTATTAAATAAAAATGACAAGTCCACTAGTCATAACTAATTTTAATCATAGTGCTATAATTAAAATATTTTATATTTGTTCGCGTTAAATAGGGCGTGATTTGCATATAATTTTCAAGTTATAACAAAGATTTTTTAAAAGCAATGTTTCAAAAAAAATTTTTGATAATCATTCTACAAGAACATGAAATAAAATTTTACTTTTCACATTTATGAAAATTTAATTGGTAGAAAAAAGAACAAGAAAAACAAAACTTATCTGTGCTTCTTAACTCCCACAACTTTTCCAACTTTTAACTCACGAATGAAAATAGTTTTCGACGTCATAACAATAGAAAAATCGTAACAAATTGAAATTTTATTGATTTATTTAAATTTATATTTCAGGTACCATCATTCAATGGGACTTCATATTTACGTTATGCGCCACTTGGTGATTCAGCTTTGATTTGGTTAGAATTACAGGTAGGTGGACATTTAAAATAATAAGCAAAAATCTTTAACATGCAATTCTAAATTAAAACAATAATCCTTAAAAATAGTATAAAAAAGTAATTTTATATAAAAAAATACAAAAACCTACACAGCCATAATGACGTACCTATATTATAATAAGAGCGTATAGACCATAGAATATATTCAGAGGTACTTTGAATTTACATAAACACGATTTAAATGAAAATGTTCGACACGAAGGGATTAATAAAATACAAGATTTTCAAATTGTTTTTCTATAAATATTTAGACCCTCTTTTTCTCTTTTTGGTTCTCATAATGTTCGTCTTCGTCTGCTGCAAAAGTATAATAACAATTTTAAGAAATAATAAGAAAAGATTTTTATTACATTTTTCTTTGTTTCTCTGCTTTTTTGTTTTTGGGTAAAAAGGATCTAACAGGAATTTCATGTATCTACAAAACAAAAAACAAAAACAAGACAAAAAGTTATTCATCCCAGTCCATTTGTTCACAAAGATTTTGTTTGTGTGTATGTGCGTAAAAATCAAAAAAGGAAAAAATCAATTAGACTTTGTTTCGTTTTTGAGTGGGTGGGTGTAGGTAGTAAACAAGAAGAAAAAATAAAATTGAAAATATAAAACAATTTTTTAATTTTTAAATATTTGAAAGATTTAATAGGCAAATAAACGGTTATGTAGATCTTTAAAATTGAAATTTTTTTAAGTTTAGTAGAATGAGTTCTTAAAATCGAAATATTCTGAAAATTTAAAACGGTTTCTACTTCAACAAGTTAAATATTTTTCTTATTTGAAATATGTCAAAGATATTAAAACAGAAAAAATTATAATTGAAAAATTTAACCTTAAACTAACCTTTATTACTTTTGAATGATTCTTGCAAATTTCAGCAATTTTTCTGAAATTGCAGAAATCATTGCTTCATTGAAATTTGGTTTTTAAATTTCATTGGCCAAATAAAATACTATAACTTCATTATAGTACTTTTACAATAGGCCTTACTTAAGGCTAAAGGCAGTAACCAGATCTGCAAAATTCTTTGATTGATCGATAATCGCGGTCCCTTAATTATATTGTAACATTATCTCAAATCATGTAACATGTTCTCAAATCTTTCTAAGCTGCCTTTTATCGTAAGACTTACACCTCTTGAAAACATAAAAATATTATTTGGTTCGTCGCACCCTATTCCATTAAATTTTTATTATCCTTGATTTTCACTGTCCTTTTTTACACAATTTTAAATTATAACACTGTTATATAGAGTAACAGTACAAAAATACTAATTAAAATTATTAAAACTTATGATTGCTCAAGATGTTGTTCTCAAATAATATTCTAAATTAATTTTTTAACTTTCTTAAAAATCATAATTTCAACACAAAATTTCTAGCAATAAAAATAAATTATTTTCATTTTAATATTCAAATTAATTACAATTTTCTTTATTTCCCGTTTCTTATAATACAAAATCATTATAATCGCAATATTACAACGCTTAATATTCACAGATTATAATAAAACCACATCATACAGATGGCGTTATACTTTATAGCGGACACGATGAACATGGTGATTATATTGCTCTCTCTTTAAATAATGGCTATGTTGAATTTACATTTGATTTGGGTAGTGGACCAGCAATTGTCAGGTAAGTAAAAAAGAGAATTTAAAAAATATAAAGAATAAAATTTAAAAATAAAAAAATTTGTATTCTTTATATACAAGAATATTACTGTTTATTTGTATGTTTATTTGTTCTAATTTTATTCTAAATAAGAAAATACAAAGAAACTAAATTAAATTTTACTCTAAGTAATAAGTAACATGATGTGCCCCGAAACGAAATATATTCCGTTATGGATGGCTAAATATATATAGTAAAATGAAAATAAGAGAAAATGACATGGAAAACTTTTTTAATTACTTTTATCATTATCGAAAGAATTTTTGATGAATTTAGGAAAACAAAGCAAAATAAAAAGAAAATTTTTCCTCTTTCCACTGATATTCGTGTATGCTATTTGTGTCACAAAAATATTCACACAAGATCATTCACACACATATTTTATTATGTATATTACCTACTTCGCCATTGTACGAAATATTTTATATGTTTGAAAAAAAAAAAAAATTGTCACGAAAGTTTCCTTGAAATCATAATGTTGTTACCGCAAATAAGGACATTTTCCTTTTCAATTCTTTTACGTTTGTATTTCTTTGAATGTTCTGTAAGTATTTTTAAGTATAAAAGTATCTTATTCATAAAAGCGTAAATATACTCGTATCTATATACATATTATATATACATACAATTATGGATGTTACATTATGTTTTTGTGACTTTTATATCTTTACATTATCGTATGTGACTTTTATATTATTATATAAGAGAAATGCAAAAAGAAGTTGTTCAAAGCGTATACGGTTGTAAGATAAATTTTATAATTATTTACACATACACAATACAAATATAAATCTATATAAGACAAATTCATGTAAGATATGTAGGGTAGGTACTCAAAACTTTTAATGTTTTAAGAAAATAGCCTAAAGTTATGCAACATTTTCCTTTTGTATTTTCTTTTTCTTCTATACTTTACTTTATTTAAAGAGTGAGTATGTAAATATTCTTTCTTATTCTGATTTTGTTATTTATTATCAAAAATTTTTAAGAAAATATTATATAACATAAGAAATAAGGTATTAGTAATAAAGATAATTGTGTAAATCAGTCTGGTGATATTCCTCAAAGAGGAAAGAAGTGCCTTTGTTTTATAAATCATAAAACTGATAAGAAATAAAAAAAAAAAAAAAAGAAAAGAAAGCAAAATCAAAACGTAAAATCATATATTATACTTTTATACCTGCATAGTTTATAGTCTTTTATACCTAACATAGTTTGCCGTTATTTTGAATTGTGTTTGATTTATTTTTATATTTCAATTAAATTCTTTGTTATTATATTAAATTATATTATTGATTTGAAAGTTATTTAAAAAAAAAAAAAAACTCTAAAGTACATAATGTCGGGCGATAGCCCTCCACCTGTTGGTGGTGTGGCACATATTAGTAAATTAATGGACCCATATATAAGACTTGATGAATCAAAAAAATTGGTAAATTTTACACCAGGCGAAAAATTTTTAACAATCAAGAGAAATGATGAAAATAAAAATATGTCGTCGGTGTCGCCTTTTTTACTTAAAAAAGTAATACAGAATATTGCTGGTGATGTACTTAGCTGTACAAAGATAAGAGACGGTACTGTTCTAGTAAAAACTAAAAATGTCGTACAAGCAGGTAAGCTAATAAAACTAGTGAAATTAAGTCCTGAAGTAAATGTACTAGTGGAGGAACATAAAACCTTAAATGAAGTAAAAGGTGTTTTCTATAGTCCCGATCTTCAATATGTATCAGACGAGGAATTCCTAAATGAAATGAAGGATCAGAAAATAATTGAAATTAAAAGATTTAAAAGGAAAACTGATAATGCTTTTATTGAAACAGGACTTTATTGTGTTAAATTTTCGGTAACGAAGCTGCCAAATGAAATATTTATTGGTTATCAAAGATATAGTGTCAGGCCTTTTATACCTCTACCGCTTAGGTGTATGAAATGTTTAAACTTCAACCACTTAACTGAAAATTGTAAAAAAGAAAAAATGTGCTCGAATTGTGGTGAACTGTACCATTTGATAGATAATGAAAAATGTGCTAAACCTGAAAAATGTGTAAATTGTAAGGATTCTCACAATGCATTTTACAAGAAATGCCCTCGATTCCTGAAAGAAAAGGAAATCAAAACTATTAAAATAAAAGAGAACGTAGACATGAAGGAAGCAATCAGGAGATATAATATGCGTTTTCCATTCGTAAGACCACTTTCTGAAATACTTAATAATCAAAAGCAGGTATGTCGATGTAAATGTTCGTGTAACAACAAAATAACAGATGAAGATAAAATCTCTGACAAATCGAAAATTGTTTTTGGGGATGACATGAAAAAAAATGAACATGAAAATAAAATAGAAAACAAGCCAATTATTCAGCCAATTATTCAGCCAATTAACCCAAGTGCGAATATTACCAAATCTATAACATTAGAAAATGGCAATATAATTTTACCAAAAAATCTTTCAAAAAAACAAAAACGAGAAATTAAAAAACAAATAAGTAAGAACAAAAAACCAAAAACTGATGAGAAAGATGACTCGAGCACCACTAGCAGTATTGGGGATCTTGACATGGTAGATAATTTTGAATAAATGTCTGTTTTATATAATATAATACAGTGGAATGCCGATGGCCTTTATAGTCATTACGAAGATTTTGAATTACTGATTAAGAAATACAACCCTTTTGCAATAGGTATACAAGAAACAAAATTTAACAAAAACCATGTGCCTAACAAAAAGAATTATGAAGTTTATTACAAAAATGTACTATCAAATACGGTTGCCCATGGAGGAGTAGCCATATATGTACACACTTTATATAAATCCGAAGAAATAGTTATAAATTCTAACATCCAAGTAGTAGCAGTCAAAATATTTTTTCCAATAAAGTTCATTTTATGCAACATCTACTTAGAAAATAATGTTAATATAAATAAAGCAGATTTAGTTAATATTTTTCAACACTTCGATTGTCCCTTCTTGTTGGTTGGAGACTTCAACTGCCATAATTATTTATGGGGTTCACAAAAAATTGACAGGAGAGGAAAAATGATAGAAGAGATTATAGATGACCTTGACCTTATACTAATGAATAATGGAAATCCAACTTTTTTTAGCTTCTCTCACAAAACTCATAGCTGTATTGACTTATCTATTTGTACACCTATAATTCAAAATTATTTCAACTGGACTATAGAAGAAAACCTTTTTAATAGTGACCACTATCCGATTGTTATTTCTGCAGTTTTATTAAACTCTACTTCGTCTCAAAGAAGAAAATGGTTGATTAAAAAGGCAAACTGGAAGGAATATCAGGAAAAATTAAAACTTACTTATCCAGATTCTGAATTAAATGAATCTACAATCAATAGTTATGTGTCACATCTAACCAAAAATATAATAGAAACGGCTGAAATCAATATTCCAACAAACAGTAATAAGGAAATGAAACGTTGTGTTCCTTGGTGGAATGCCAAAATAAAATATGCAATCAAAAAAAGAGAAAAACTTTTTAGAAAATACAAGAAAACTATGAATTTCACTGATTATAAAAATTTTATTAAAATAAAATATGAAACAAGAAGGCTTATTAAATTCCATAAAAAAGAAAGTTGGCAAAATTTCGTTATGTCCATTAATAGTAATACCACAACAAGTGAAGTTTTTCAAAAAATTAGATCAATAAACGGAAAGAACAATACGAATGATATTACGACACTCATACAGGATGATAAAATAATTACTTCAAAGGAGAATATTTGCAATTTATTGGTAGAACATTTTTCGGCTGTATCTAGTACAAGAAATTATTGTGATAAATTTATCAAGCATAAAAATAAAGAAGAAAAGGCACTATTAAACTTAAAACTATCTTCAGAGGAAAGTTACAACAAACCTTTTTTTATTGAAGAGATGGAAAATAGCTTATTGGATTGCAAAGGTAGTTCCCCAGGACCAGATCAAATTCACTATGAATTTTTGAAAAAACTAAAAGAAGATGACAAACTTGTATTATTAAATCTTTTTAACACTATATGGGAAAAAGGAATTTTCCCAGAGAAATGGAGGCAAGCCATCCTTATTCCAATTTTAAAACCAGGCAAAAATCCAACATATGTTTCAAGTTATCGACCTATAGCTCTTACAAACTGCATTTGCAAATTACTAGAAAGAATGGTTTCCAAAAGGTTAGTTTGGTTTTTAGAGAAAAATGAAATTTTAACCAAATATCAAGCTGGATTTCGAAAAAAACGATGCACCATGGACAATCTTTCATATCTGGAATGTGAAATAATAAAAGCATTTTCAAAAAACGACCTTACTTTATCTATCTTTTTCGACCTAGAAAAAGCATATGATATGGTATGGAGAAGAGGAATTATAAATGAAATGATTAATATAGGTATTACCGGTAACATGTTAATTTTCACATACAATTTTTTACAAAATAGAAAAATACAGGTTGATATTGCAAGAAATACTTCAAAAATAATGGAAATTGAAAATGGTACACCACAAGGTTCTGTCCTTTCAGTAATATTATTTATAATTCATATTAACACTATTAAATCGAAAATTGAATTACCAGTAAAATTTGCCTTATTTGCTGATGATTTGGTAATATTTTTAAACGGTAAGAATTTAAAAAATATGCAAGCTAAAATGCAGAATACTTTAAACAAAATTTCCCTATGGTCCGAAAATACTGGTTCAAAGTTTTCAACTACCAAAACGGTAGCCATGCTTTTCACAAAGAGAAGAAAAAAATTTTATTATCCTGACTTATATATTGGAAATTACAAGATAAAATATGTTCTGCAACATAAATTTTTGGGTATGCTTTTTGATACAAAACTCAGCTGGAAATATCATATACAAAATATAAAAAGTAAAGCCAAAAAAAGTCTAAATATATTGAAAATTCTAAATCACACTGAGTATGGGTCAGATAGAAACATGTTATTAAGACTCT